AGAATTTCGAATGATGTGAAAATTAGCATAACATTTTAATAGTGTACGCGCTATTACACAGCCTACGGCAAAATAGAGGGGTTTCGAATATACAAAATTCTTCGTCTGACTATTACGATTAAATTTGGTTTAAACTATATTTATTATAAGATAAACTTCTTGACACTCCCTGCTAAATCGGCTCGCCATTGTATAGCAAGAAGGATAGGCAACAACAATTATATAATCAATCTCATCCGAAGAGTTGAAAAACACTGCTCTAAGAGAATATGAACACAAATCACCATCACAATATTTTTTGTCAATATTTTTTATCTGCCAATAATACATACCGTTTTGATTCTTTTTGTGTTGGTATACTAGAAGGTAATGATAAGTTAACTAATGAAGAAGAAGAATCCAAATTATTATGATTTTTTGTATTTAAAGTAGAAGGTGGATGATTTAAATTAGAGTTAAGTATAGATGTATTGTTATTAGGCAAATTAACTAGATGGTTATTATGATTTGTTGTATTTTTATTAACTAATGTTTGATAATAATTTATAAATGTTGGGTCGTTGAGCGCAGCTGCTAATTGTAATGTACGAAGTGCTGCTTTTTGTTGTTGTTGAAGTTGTGGAGATGTTTCGACGGTAGATGTTGGTTCGATGGTGGGAACATTTTCTTTTATGGAACTTGTTGATGGAGGCGGTGGTGGAAGTGGAGGTGTAGTTGTTGAAGCCATGGCTAATGTTTTAGCTAACAATAGACTATTTGTTATTGATGTAAGTTCGCGTTGTTTTTTAATATGACTAGTAGTACCACTACTATTGTCGTATGATTTTGGTGATGACATATCGTGTGTTCGACGTGTCTTTTCTATTTTATCTAGAGTAATCGAAACTAGCTGTCCAGTGACTTTGTAATATGAACTAGAGCGTTTGACATAATCGTCTGTATTTCTATCATTCGCATACACACACTCTCTCTCTCTCTCTCTTCACACTTTATTTTTATTTAAAAAATTTACTGAACAAAATTTTATCTCGTTCCTGTTTTATATATGTTGAATAACAAACACTATAGAACAGATGTAAAAGAAATGAAAAAAGCAATTTACATATAAATATGTAAGACGGATGATGTTTAACTTTTTTTTTGCAAGGACGATGTAAAATAGTAATATTTTTAAATTGTCAAGCTTCGGCCGACGGCCAGTCAACTATGAACGGAAAAGAAAACTTATAGACAGTTGAATCAATCGAAAACAATGGCATTATACTTGAATGATGGTACTATATAGAATAGAAAAGAAGAAGAAAAAGAAGGAAAATAACAACACCTTTTAATAACATAGTAAAACCTCTTCTTTTATACTTTATATGTGCGGTCAAGTGAACAAAATTATAGCAAGAAAACAAGAGTAGAACTATAGGCACGTGTGTAACGCCGGAAAAGTAGCGTAAAAATAAGAACTTCAGAAAGATGTAAAAAACAATAATAAAACAGATTCTAAACTTTTCTTTCACGCTTCGAAGGCTTATTTAAGAAGGATGTTGCTTTCCTCTAAACGCCTGTCAAGTCCTTCTCATACATCTAATTTAATACTAAAACTCAGTCTCCAGGTTGGGCGTGAATGAGCGCGGATAACGATTTTTGGAACTCGATACTCACTACTCTTACTCATTCTTTCTACATCTTACTCACTCAAGACTTCGTACCTGGTTATTTATAGCTGTACTCGAGTATATTTTTTGTGAAAATTTTTCACGTGATCATAGGGCGATCACAGTCGCTAAAAAGATAGCAGAATTCATACTATATTCCGTGAGATGAATTATAAAACATGTTAAAAATTAGAAAAATATCAATATATTCTGTGATATGGCAATTTATAAATATGAACATCACTAAAAACTAGTTGTTCTCACTTTTTAGTATTTTGTTCTGAAAAAAATGAAGTTGCAGGACGCTTTATTACCCTTTGAAATCTTACATAAACGTTTTATTCAACATTTGAGCAGATACAGAAGATAGTAAGCATTGATAGTTAGTCAAATAAGTCCTTTATTTATCGTTAAAAACTAGTTGTTACTGATGAAAGTTTCCACTTTTTAGTTCATAATAGCTGGAAAGCCAAACTGTCTCACATAACTCATAAGTGAACGATGTTGTATGAGCTATTATGCAGAACCTTAGACAGAAATCTGATCGCTAAAAGATCCAACTTGAGATAGATTTTTGTATTTAACTGACTCAAAAAA